TAGTCGTATGCTTTGTTGAGCCTTTGAAAACAAATCTTTCAAGTTTAAAACGTACTTTCAGTCTTTTACTTTAATAAATTTATAGGTTTTAACCCATCACCTTATGCTACTACAGCACTTTTAACCTTCACCTATACGAATTGAAGAAAATAACATTTACTCAACATCAAGTTATAACGTTTTATTAGTTCTATTAATTAATTGTTAATTCTGTTAGCTATTAAGTCTGTTAGTTAATTGTTAACTTTATTAATTAACTATTAGTATTCCGTTAATGAAATTAACAAATAAAATTGAATTTAAATTTTATATTTTCATAACAGAATACTAACAGTCAGTTAATAGAACTAACAGTCAGTTAATAAGACATTAAATAAGATCTATTTTCTTCAATTTGTATAGGTGAGGGATTAAAAGTGTCATAGTTTAAAGTGAGGGATTAAAACCTATAAATTTATTAAGATAAAATGCCAAAAGTAAGTATTTGCCATCTTTCAAAGGCTGAGATTGGACTAAACACAAATTTCTTTCAAAATTTTCTGCTAATTTTTTAAAGTCGTTTTGTTTTGTCTACTTTTTTTTTGTTTTGAAAATTTTTAAAGTCGTTTTTAAGCCGTTAAATTGTTAAAAAGTAAGCCTTTGTTTGACAATACTTTAACTAAAAATGTAAATATATTGTTTTTAATTAATTATATATTTTTTAATTTTAACTATTATCTATATATTTTTAAGATAATAAAAGATAAAAAAAACTATGATTACAATAAAATACAGTACAATACAATATTGAAAAGTGAAAATTAAAACTCTAAACTTGTGTTAAGCCTAATAATAATAATAAGAAGTCAAAATTAAAAATTAAAAATTAAAATTAATAACTTGTTTTGGATACAAAATTTTAAAACTAATAACCAATATTTTATTAAACTTGTTTGTTTTTGTTTAGCATTGCTAAAATTTTTACAATCAAAACCAAGACAAAAACGTCTATGATACTAAAAGAGGTGTAAGAAAATTTTTTGTATTTTTATATGAATTCATAATTTAAAAGTTCTGCAAAAGATAAAACCATGAGACCAAGCTTACTCTATGGTTATATTTGGTATAGTTGGTGGGAAGTTCTTTTGAATTTCAAAAGTTTCAGTTGCACAAAATACTACAATTTGTGAAAAATGTTACAACTTCTCACAAGTTAATCTTTTATCCATTTCATTACAAATCTGTAGGAGCTTTTCATTTTGGTTTTAATGAAATTAATATATTATTCTTATTTTATCTTTATTTTTTTTATTTACAAAAATAACACTTCTACAATAGTTTTTTTTCAACAGAATTTCTATTAAAAGCTCTAACCATACCAAATGGGCACTATATATAACTACGAAACCAGTTAGGTTGCCAATTTATTAATTATTTTAAGTTGAACAAATGATGAAATGTTTAGCATTGAAAAATCAAGGAGCTTCTTTTAGATTGGATGTTTATCCCAAAGTTATATGATTACAATATTTTTATATAATTTCCATAAATTATTAAATAAGTAGATATTTTCAATATCATAAGCCTCAAATTGAATAAAAAGTGTTCATAATTAAATAATACATATAGCTATATAAAAATATTCTCTGAATCCATTTTCAAGCTACATATATGAGAGGAATCAGGTTTTGTTGGGTTAGTCTAGGTTACTCGTTCCTTATCTGCTACGTGACAGTAAAATGATTTAAGAACAATTTTTTTTTTGTATAACTTAATATATTATTTAAATAATTAACTTTTTATCATTTGAAATTTATGATATTAAGTGTATGTATTTATTTAATAACATATAAAAATTATATAAAAAAATTATCTCTATATCACTGTGTTGTCTTACATAATAATGGTCTAAATTTTGAATTGTATGCAGGTTATTGTACCATGTACTCGTAACCGTAATAATATTTTTTTGCTTTCCAAAAAAATTGATAAAATGTTTACCATACTCATATGATTCATTTTTTTTTCCTTAATATGTACACTTTCATTTCCCCATTAATTAAAATTAATTCAAAACAAAAAAACTGTATTTTTTGTTTCACCCTCTCTTGTCACTGTATTTTTTGCTTCACCCTCACTTGTCTGATATGCCATATAGAAAAACTCTTGTTATGATTAATATTTATCAAAAAAAAAAAGGAAAAAGAAAAACCTTGAGATTTGATAAGATCAAGAGAGTATCCACTAATCCACAAGATATATGTTCTTTATTTAATTATATGGATTGGATATATTTGAATCAAAATGAGTGGATGAAGCAAAGAAAAAGATGAGAAAAGTGAAGTAGTACCTTCAGATGGATCAGTGGTTGGGTTTTGTGCTCTAGATTCTCCAACTGATGATACGAAGAAGATGAAGATCAAGATGAAGCAGAAATGAGCAACAGGCAGCACAGAAGCAGAAGAAAGTAGCTTCATTCTCCAATTCTACCTCAGCACGCGGCGGCTTTGAGAACAAAATGGAGACAGCCTTCCCAAATTTTCAACATATATAAGGGTTAAAGCCAATTATCATCCCTCTACTTTGAAATTTTGTTCATAACCGTCCCTCTACTACAGATTTGTTCATTGTCGTCCCCCTACTCCCAAATCACACCATATGTCGTCCCTCTACTTCCTTTATTTTATTCATTGTCGTCCTTTTTCTTGACGCAGTTTCTACAGCCGTTGATTGGACTGTTAATTCATCAGGGTCGGTGGTAAAGTTATTTTTTATTATTTTTTTGGCATATATGTTGTAGACTTGGAGTTTGGTTGGGGCCATTGGTTTTATACTTTGGTTTTAAATCAAATCTCTGTTTGCCATTGTTTTTATTACTTTATCCCTTTTTATTTTTTATCAAAACATCCACCACCTTCGGTGCAATCTGCATTCATACAAAAATTCATGAAATAAAAAATCTTTTTTTTATATATTAATTAAAATCAAACAAAAAAACAACTATAAATTAGAAACATGAAAAAATGCTAAAAAGGTGAAGAATTATATATTGATTATCTGTGCATGAAAATAGAAAAAATACCTTTTTAATCTCTTTAAGGATGCAAATTAATAACATTTCTTTATCATAAATTAATATATTTTTTCGTTTATTTTTAGTAAACTTAATTTTACTTTTTAACTTTTTGAATATAAATTTTAAATGAAAATTTAACAATTTATATAAATAACAATTGAAAATTTTTTTTCTTCCTATGTAAAATTTGTATTGGGTACTTCTATTTGATAAAAAAAATTAATTATAATTTATATAATATTTTAAATTTTTATTTGAAATTTATGTTTAGAAAGTCAAAAACTTAAATTAGGTTCAATCAAAATAAACAAAAAGCATAAAAATTTAAAAATTTAAAAATTGACATTAATGTTATTGCTATACGTATGAATTTAATTGGATAATTAATAAATTAAATGTCAAATTTTATACTTTTAATATAAATTAATAACAAAAATACATTTTTATACATTAACATGTCCTTAGATTGGGGTTATTATATACATTATAATTAAAATTTTTTTATCAAATAAAAGTATTCAATAAAAATTTCATGTAGGAAGAAAAAAACTTTCAGTTGTTATTTATATAAATTGTTAAATTTTCATTTAAAATTCATATTCAAAAAATTAAAAAAGTAAAATTAAATTTACCTAAAAATAAACAAAAAATATATATTTATGATAAAGAAGTGTTATTAATTTGCATCTTTTGACAGATTAAAAAGGCATTTTTTATATTTCCATGCACAGACAATCAATATACGATTCTTCACCTTTTTAGCATTTTTTTCATTTTCCTAATTTATAGTTGTCTTTTGGTTTGATTTTAATTAATATATAAAAAGAAAAAAGATTTTTTATTTCATGAATTTTTGTATG